GCTGCATCCGAGTGCGGGCGATTATGAAGGAATAGTGTTTTATTTAATAGGCGAATTCAGGCTAGCTTCCTTTAGCCATGTAGTGCTGCTAAAGCTACGTGGCATCGTACAGGTAGCTTATTCAAACAGCAAATTCAAATCAGCTTCCTTTAGCTGTATAGTTCTGGTAAAAATGGTATCTTACGGGTCATGTTATTTAACCTGCAAATTCAAATCAGCTTCATTTAGCTGCATGATTTTGGTAAAACTCCGTGACAGATAAAAATTTGCTTAATATTTCTTAGGAGAGCAGGCTTGCATTTGAGCTGTCATCCAGAAGTACAACAGCTCTCCTGGAGGTGAGCTCACTGGTTAGATAACTATATGATTCAGGGGTTCATGTTTATGCGTGTACTTGGTCACTTTCTGAAAGTCTTTTCCCTTGCAGGTTATTACCTTGGAATGTGCTTTGCTGCACCTGAAAAACATCTTTGTTTTTTCTACCTGGCTTCAAAAGGATGGAAAACTTTCTTCTTCTTCTCTATTCTCCTTCCGGCAGTCACCAGTGCCCTGGCGTACTACTGGTCACGGAGAGGTTGGAATAATCATCCCTTAGCCCAGACGCTTGCAGTTCACGCTCTCCCACAGTCAGGTTGGAGGGCAGTAGCTTCTTCCATCAATACAGAATTTAGGAGAATTGACAAATTTGCTACCGGTGCCCCAGGAGCGAGGGTGATTGTTACAGACACCTGGGTGATCAAGGTGACCACGTACTGTTTACACGTTGCCCAGCAGCAGGACATTCATTTGACGGTGACAGACTCCAGACAGCACGAGCTCACCCCAGACTCCAATATGCCTGTGCAGTTCCTCACCATCCGTGTCGCCAGTGTTAATCCCTACGTGAAGGCATTTGATATCCGGTAAATCAACTACCCTGTTGGGTTACGTGTGTGCTATTTGATGGTGCTAACAGAGTGGTTTTGTGGCTGATCTGAAGACTCTTTGGGTCTTGTCCCTTCCTTTTTGCTCCCTGCCTGGGGTTCAGAGACACTTTGTGTGCAGTTCTACGCTGTGCAGTTTCATACACCTGCAGTATTGAGTGCACATTGGTAAAGCAGGGACTGCCCCGTGAGATACGTTCCTAGGGAGAGAAGTGTGCTGGGTGCAGAAAGAAGTAACTGGAAAAACTTATGTGAAAGATGGGGAATGGGAATGAAAAGGACAATCTGTGGTCTTCCCGATTTTGTGGGAGGAGAAACAGTTATTCATCTAAAACTGGCTGTTGTTCACCCGTAACTTATTTTTTTCCTTCTGCTCAAGGCTCATAATTGTGTCACTGAGTTCTTGTCAAGAGTTCTTGCTGAGCTACTGCAAACCAGCTGCCCTTAAAGCAAGGAAGTAATTTTGGTCCATTTCTGATTTATGTGTTGTCATAGCCGTAAATCATAGCAAACGTGCTCTGAATGGGCAGGGCTTGCTCTCCGAGGGCCCATGGTGGGATTTTTCAGCAGTCTCTCTGCATAGCTGGGCAAAAGCACAAGTTCTGCAGAGACCTATAAGACTGAGTAGAGAAGGGTGCTAAAGTCTTTGTTGTCGTCGTGTCATTAAAAGGAGTACACAAAGGCATGTTAGTGCTCCTAAAATTATGTATTTGGAAAGGCATTTGAGCATCTGCTGTAAATTATGTCAGCAGCATTTATTTACTGGGTAATTAAAAGTAGGCAGGTCACCAGACTCCTAGGTAAGCAGGGATGAGGAAAAGGTATGGAGATGATTGTGTTCGGTATCTTGGTGGACAGAGCTCAGAACAAGAGGTCAGTTAAGGTAAGCGTGACAATCCTAAGAGGGGACTTTTATAGACCTGTGAGAGTGGTGACCAAATAAGTATTAAACTTAACGATTTTCTGCTGTAAGTGCTGCAGTGCCAGAGTGATAAAACTACGTCCCCTGCTGAGAAAACCACAGCTTCTTTGACAATTCCTTTTAGGGAAAAAAATCCAAACCCCAAAACTTTATTTTGTGGCCAAACAGAACAGCAGTGAGAACAGTGTTTGAAAGTTCTTAAAAGATATGTCAGAAATAGCAAATCTCTGCTAAAATGCAGTCACACAGGATTTAAGAAGAGTGCCATAGGACAAAATTCCCCTATTAAGGGTACAAGATCATTGTATGTATCCAGAGTCAGAATTAGATACAGCAGGATATTTCTGGAAGAGAAATGCTTTTGTTCAGGCAGGTCGGCCACGTTTCCGTGTGCTCAGCATGGATTTTTCCACTGAGTGGAAAGGTTTCTGTTACTTGCACAGATAGCTTCTGTTAACAAACACCATCCCATAGTAGTTAAAACAGTGGAGACCATCAGGAGCTGAAGCTAAGCCAGCGTTGGGTTGTGCTGGGCTCCAGGAACTCAGCGAGTGTAGGAGGAATGGAGAAGTTTCAGGGTGATGTTCGCAGGGCTTCTCCATGAAAGCTGTTAAACGAGTTCGGGATCTGCAGTTAGAACTGTTAGATTCAGAGGGGATAACGACAGTAATGTGTCACTACAGGATCTGCACAAGGTCTCATGGGCCACTTGAGGTCTGTGGACCTCACACTTGAGCAGAAGCAGCCTAGTGTGAACACAGCTTGGTCCAGCCTTAAAGTGTAAGACATTCAGCAGATCTCTGTAACACTTACAATTTCACATTTTATCTAAAACTGTATCATAAAATCACAGGAAGTGATACTGATTGACAATTGTCTGATACTTACATGTACTTTATCACTTTGTGATAAGTGCCACGTAATATAACTGTAAAATCTGTCTTCAGGAGTTTATAAACTAGATTTTAGATGTGGCCTAAGTAAATAAATGGACAGAAACTGTGCATGCAGTACTTTACAGTTAATTCATGATTTATGTACCTCTATTGCTTTTGTTCATGCTGATTACTTCAAAAGCCTTCCTTTATTTTTGAATGCTGTTTTAGCTCATCTCTGGCATATCCTGTGGGCAATCTGACACAGATATTAATGATGTGCTCCTGTCCGAGTTGTGTCAGGACCAACCAGCAACTAAACAGGAAAACAAACTGCTCACTGTGTATTTATTCTGACTAGTATGTACCAGCCTAAAAATCTTTTCTGTGGATTCACTTCTCTCCCATTAAACTCTTGCAATGTACTATCAAGTTACTTGAATGGATAATCATGGTAACATTTTGGTCCATCTTTTCTTCTTCAGGTTGAACTCCACAGAGTATGGGGAGCTCCGAGAAAAGCTTCGTGCTCCCATCAGCAATGCAGCTAATGTTGTGATCCATCAAAGCCTTAGTGATTTATTTCTAGAAACCTTTACATCTCTGGTGGAAATCAACCAGACGTATTCTGTTCCAAGCACTCAGGTGAGACCTTCTATCCATATGAGACTGTAGTAATCATACTTTTCACTATAGGTGATACTGTGGTTGCTGTGTAGTGGTTCACTTAGGCCTGTTGCAGGTGAATTATTAAAAGAAGTCATTGTTGTGGGGTTAACCAAAAGGTTGTAATAAATACTGATTAAAAGATGATTGAATGATGATTAAATTATAATTATTAAACAATTATTACTAAACAGTAATTAAACAGTAATCAGGTCATAATTGAAAGTCAGTCAAAGACTGTACTACTTGTTACACTTTTAATAATTATGAATTGACACACCAGAGCTGTGCTACCATCCAGCAAGACCTGGACAGGCTGGAGAGTTGGGTGGAAGGTAACCCAGTGAAGTTCAACAAGGGCAAGTGTAGAGTCCTGCATCTGGGGAGGAATAACCCTGTGCATCACTACAGGCTAGGGGCTGACCTACTGGAAAGCAGCCCTGCAGAGAAGGACCTTGGAGTCTTGGTGGGTAACAATCAAGAGCCAGCAATGTGCTCTTGTGGCCAAGAAGGCCAGTAGTATCTTGGGCTGCATTAAGAAGAGCGTGACTGGCAGGTCAAGGGAGGTCTCCCACTCCACTCTGCCCTGGTGAGATGACATCTGGTATATGGTGCCCAGTTCTGGGCTTCCCACTTCAGGAGAGACAAGGAGCTACTGGGGAGAGTCCAGTGGAGGGTTATGAAGGTGATGAGGGCACTGGAATGTCTGTTTGACAAGGAAAGACTGAGAGACCTGGGGCTGTTTAAACAGGAGAAGAGAAGACTGAGAGGTGATCTTATCAATCCTCATCAGTACCTAAGGGCAGGGGTCAAGCAGATGGGGACAGACTCTTTTCAGTGGTGCCCAGGGACAGGACAAGGCGTAATGGGCACAAAGTGGAACCCAGGAAGTTCCATCAGAGAAGGCGGAAAAAATTCTTTACTATGAAGGTGACAGAGTCTTGGAACAGAGTGTCCAGAGAGGTTGTGGAGTCATCTTCTCTGCAGATACTTTGAATCCTGCCTGGATGTGATCCTATGCAGCCTGCTCTAGATGAACATGCTTTAGCAAAAGGGCTGGACTAGATGATCTCTAGAGGTCCCTTCCAGCCTCTAGAGAAAATGATGAGGTTGTTTCCAGAAAGTTTATGGGGAGGTAGAATCACAGCTGTTGTTACTGTTCTTTAGGCAGTTCATTACAGCTTGTTTTTCTAGACAGCCAGGTTTTGCTGGATCTTCTGCTGAAGTAAATTAATGATCCTTAATTAGGGCTTGCTTTAATTGTAAATAATGCCATAGAGTCCTACCTTCAGTAATATTTGTGGAGACCTGGTCATTGTTATACTTGTGCAGCAGCTGGAAGTGTGACTAGAGCACTGTTCAATGTACCAGAGGTAACTAATTAAACTAGTTCTGGTGGCCTTGCACTGAGCCTGTGTCAGATGTTCCAGCTAATGGAGTGAGTACTTGGTATCTTTGGTATTGTCACACAGCTTATATGATATCTTCACTGGATGACTACAGGAACTAGAATTTTAGTAAATACATTTACTAAAATAAAACTGCATCAGGTCTATCTGCATACAATGTTGTTGAGCATTCTGATTGCAGTGCCAGTGTATAGTGAAAAGAGATGTTCAAAATAAAGGGAAGACACTACTCATTTGAGACAGTTGCTTACTTGCAGGGCTTGTAATTTGTGACCTCTTAAAGAGTCAGCTGAGCTACTGAATTTTGGTTTGACATTGAGTGATAAATAACATCAGAAGTGATGATATGGACATTAAAAATACATCATGGGATTTTTCCTTGTTCTGAAGCTCCATGAATGTGTTGAAACAGTTAACCTCTCCATGGTAGAGTTTTTCCTGCCTAAAAAACAAGTTATGCCCTAATTTCACAAGTTAAAGCTGGTGCAGCTTCTGAAAGAAGCAGTCCTGCTTCCTTCATCCTCATGCTGACACAAGACTTTGTCTGCGGGGAACCTGGCTGAGGTGAAAAGAGGCAAAGATGAGACTTCATGTAGAACTCCTCCACAGTTAAGCTGCAGTGTGGTTGAACAGACACTCTTGCTGACAAGGGAAGAGACGCTGGAGGTGGGAACAAGAGGCCACGCAGCAGAGCTGCTTTTTGTTACACCAGTAGCAGTATGAATAGGATTCAGGCCTCCTCCATGCCTGTTCAGTGTGCTGTCTTTTGAACTTTGTCAAGTTCTTGGAGAGCTTTGGCTAGAAGACACATGGAGAAATGCTACTATTATTTATTAATTGAAAAACACTTCAGAGCAAGATGATGTGTTTATATGCAACAGCAAGCTCATGTGGCATAATTAACTGTGCAGAAATATCAATTATTCCAATATTGTCCAAGAGAAATTAAGTAATCTGCTGGTCCTTCAAGATGAGTGCCCATTGTGTTCAGTAGAGCTGATTTCTTCTGCTATTTATGTCTCTTCCTTACAAAGATGGAAGATAGGAACTGTCATTTGCTGTAACAAGGGGTAAGGACTGTTTGCTTTGTTTCTGTCACTTCATATTGGTAAGTTTTTTTAAAAAAATAGTAAGTCTGAATGAGAAAAAAGGCTGCTTGCTTACCTTGCCCTGGCCGCTGCGCTCTGGAGACAGGTGGAGCTCTCCAGAGGGAGAAAGAATGTTTATTTTCAGTCGTTTTTGTTCAGTCAGGCTCATGCAGGAGTTCTTGGTTTTCTGTTTAAAGAGATACTTTAAACACTTCTCATTCATTAGAAGGTGTTCTACTAAAACACAGCTCTGGAGACTGCAACCATTTGTTGTCTTCTGGTGGGGCAGTTTTGCCTGGAGGCTCTGCCCAGCTCAGGTTCCTGCTGTGCTTAGGCACAGATGATTTTCTGACAGCCTTTGCAAAGCACTAACAGAATCCATTCTGTGCAGTCCATAATGTTGACATTTTCCTCCTCCTTTAGGAGCTGGAGCCCTGCATTGGGTGTATGCAGACTATTGCCAACATCAAGCTCATCAAGAACTGCCAGGAGCTGAACGACGGGGAGTGCCAGCAGTGCTACTGTCGTCCCATGTGGTGCCTCACCTGCATGGGCAAATGGTTTGCCAGCCGGCAGGATCAGCAGCACCCAGAGACCTGGCTGTCGAGCCAAGTGCCTTGCCCGACTTGCCGAGCCAAATTTTGCATTTTAGATGTTTGCATAATACGATGACTAATACTTGGGTATGTTTTAACTTTTTTAATTTGAATGTATTTTGTAGTGGGTTTGGTTAAAAGGCCTGTTAAATTTGTTTCTGAGACTTCACGTTCTACAGGGGTGCAAACTCCAAGGCTTCCTTTACAGCGTTGGAAACAGGTGTAAATCTTTTCAGTTGCTTTCCACTTTTATCTGTGTCTTTGTTTTTTGTTCACCAGATGTCAGTTTCTGGATTTATTTTTTTTTTTTTGCTTTCTTATGCCTTAGAATAAGGATATCCTTCTATATTTGCAGTACTATTCTCTTTCCAAGTTTTAACGTGTTAAATTCTTTAAATTTTTTAATTAAATTGGGTTTTGATTCTCTAGTAAAGGGCTAACCGAGAAAATGGCTTTGGTTAGACTTCCTTGATGCTTTTGTTCTTTGCAAGTGTTCACTGAAAAAGTATACCAGTTGTGTTTCTTCTGCTGGTCCCTCCAATTAGAAATGGGACTGGTTTCTGCAGGCTAAGGAATTTAATTCCTGAAGATGTACAACTTCCATAGGGACCATTTATTCCATTAATATGCCTCTAGCTTAAGTTTTAATGGATGAACTTCTTTTCAAACCACAGGATTTGGAAACATACCCCATTTACCTACACTGCTGATGTTATGCATCATTAAATCTGTTGGTTTCCAGGACCTACATTGCTTAGGGTTTTGATGCTTTTTAGGTAATGGACTTTTTTTTATACATCTGGAGTGCAGCTAACATCTGAACTGTCTAAATACTCTGAAAGAATGCTCAGCTATTTCAAAGCATGTAGGATTTTTCTGCAGGATAACCTTTTCCCTTTCCCCTGAAGGAGAGGCCAGGATCACAAAGGCAAGAGTTGCCACGCTAGATGCCTGAAGAATTAACAGTCATTAATAATTAAATAACATCATTAACAAAAAGCTTTTCGGCCTTGCAGTTGACTGATTGTAAACAGTAATCACTGTTTTAATATTCATAGGGTACTGATGGGCATTTCTTGATCTGATCCACATCAGAATAACTTATGCATTAAAATCAAAGCATTTTCCATACATTTAAGAGAGCCCTACTCCTAGACCTAGTTTGAGTGTTCTAGCTGTCCATCAAAACCTTCAATGAACAGTTCTTTGGCATACTGCTTGGTGGAAGGCCTCAAGGTCAAATAGTGAGAGAAAAGAACATTTTAAGGCTTTGGTCTAGGAGAGTGAAAGTCCTGATACCTCCCACCTGTATAAACATAAGGATCTTGTCAATAAATCACTAGCACAGATGACATGACAGAGATTGCCTGAAAATGTCTTGATTACTGTGACAGGCAATGGTTTTGAGCAGGAACAGGTGGCAGGATGTTTAAACCAGTACAAGTGTCGGAAGCACAACCATGAAAGTTTTCATGAGAGTTTCACCTGAGCTACAGGTTGTGTGGTGAATGCACCAAACCGCATTTTCCTGACAGGAAATGGTTACAAGTGTGGCTGCAGGCCATAGTTTGGAGAGGGTTAAGGAATTGAGAACACATCGGACAGCATAACTTATAAAAGTCAAAAATGTTTGGGTTTAAACACACTAATTGCTTGAGCATATCTGAGTTGTTATGTATGCAACAGGTACTGTGCAATTATCTATACTACCTATTCTTAAGGGTGATTTTTCTGTTTTTCATTACCTGTTGTTTTGGAGTGTAGAGAACAAAATGTTGGCACTGAGACCAGTGGTCTATCTTTCTCCAAAAGATCTTAAGGGTCCCTCTTCATCTGAATTGGATTGAGTTCCTGAGTTTCAGAAAGTTCTGTTGACAAGTCTGAAATTTTTGAAGAATCAAGGAGCTGATCAGTGATTGAACTGAAAATATTTTCAAGTACTTCTGTGGCAAAGTTATTTGAAGTTTGAAATGGTTTTTGCAGAAATTTTTAACCTTTGGAAGATTCTTCCAAGGCTGGGTGGTGACCTGACATGTACCTCCTCACTACACAGCAGCCTTTACAAAGAAGCATTTTGTGACCTTTGCTTCTCAAAAGTTTACATAATGTGGCACATATAAGGGATGTGGTCCTTCAAATAGTGGCAGAAGAGAAGGTAGGATTTTTGAGTTATGGTTTTGCCACTATCAGTCACTCAGTTCCAACAGCTCTTTTCCTGTTTAGAGTAAAAAATATTTCTTATGAAGATTCATGAAGTTAAAATCATAAAGGCCTTAAGAAACACAGAGAATAGCTACATGTTGTTGCAGATGGTTTTATACAAGAAAAACCAATCACTTGCTAATAGCATCTCATGTAATAAGACTTTTAGCCTCCTAATTGCTTGTGCAGTGGAGTTGTTCTTTACAGAAATCTACTTTGAATTGATTGGAAGTTTGCATTTCAGTGGAACTTTGCTTTTATTTCATAAACTTTTATTCATCTCACTTTAGTCATACTGTTACATAGGCAAAAAAGTAACAGTCTTAAGTGTATAAATCCTTTGTGTCTTTTAATAGTAGTGTTCTATCCACAGAAGTGCCTCTTCAAAAACTTAGTAATAATTACCCAAATAAAATAATTATTTATGTTAATAATAGTGCCTGGCTTAAATTCCTTAAAATAAGCCTTTTTTCCCCCCAAAGTTTAAATTCTCAAAGTAATCTGGCATGCCTCTGAAGTTCATAAACTTCTTAAAAGCTGTGTTAGAGAACAAACTTGTTAAAAATCCATATGACATATTCTTACAGACAATAAAAGAAGAAACCAGGATCTCTGCCTGCACAGTCATGTGGCATCTTACTTGTCTTGAATAAATCACTGAACACGAAAATAATAGACCACAAAAATAGGCATTTGTCATTGGTGGTTACTTCAGGTCATCATCCAAAGATCCATATGCACATATAGAGCTGTTTCCCGAGAAGAGCTCTCTCTGTTTGCATTAAAAAGATACATTGCCTCCCACCCAATCTTGATGTTTCTTAAACATAAGGATAGGGTTTAGAATTGGTCTTTTTTACATACTTTTCTAAGGAAAAAAAAAAACGAAGTAATGTGATGAGCAAAATACGTAATGAATTTTTTTGATTATTAGTGATTTAGTGTTGCTTTTTCAGCTATATATGTGTTTTTCCACATCACTGCCTTGTGGGTAGGCAATGTTAGTTATATTAAGCATGCTACATAAATGTAATGTCATTACAGTAAGACTGTATGTGGGTGCAGTGTCAGTATAAGTACCCCATATGTGTGTACAGATGTGTAGCCCAGAGTTCCCTGTGTGCTGCACCTGAACAGGTGTTTCTGAAAACATGGGCTGTGGCTATATTATTTATTTCCATACTTGTGTTACCTGTAACTGTAGCATTCCAGAAAATGTTGCCAAAACACATCCCTTATCTTTTGATTTTTTAGGTTAACCTAAAAAGTTTGCTAACCAAAAAAGGCATTTTGCCCAAGCAGGATATATCTTGAATCCATGATACCAATGCAGTTGTTTACCATGAGGCTTACCATCACTTGGAACCAAAACAGCATTTGTTTTGGTGATCCCTTCAGTATGAGTACTTCTACTGTGTTGAAATTTGGTAGACTGCAGCTATGTACCATTCCCATCGGGCTAAGCCTCAGCGAGACATAACTGACTTAAAGTTCTGAGTGCCATTTCTTAAGTAATGCTGACTTTGGGATACAAATATTCAAGCTCTTACATGCATTACAAGCCATTTTCTTCCAAAGATACACCACAGGTTTTGTTATTTGTAGGTCTGTTTTTTTTGTTTTTACCTTGGTAACTTACTTATTTTAAAACAAACAGTATTATTTGGATAGCCTTTAAGGAAAAGGCTTAATGCATACATGTAGTTCATCTTAAAACTCTCTGAAGAGCTGAATAAAAAGACAATTGATTTTATGTAAGACTTCTGGTTTTCATTTTAAAGTTACATTTACCAGCTAAAACTTTATATGGGTGGAAATCAACCTGGCTTTCCTGTATATAATGTTTTACACTGGCAACATGCGAATACGAAGAGGGCTTAAGTTATCCTGAACATGCACCTGATAATTCCCTCTTTGATGAATTTTCCTACTATAACTTGAATGCAGAGTTGCATAAATTAAAAGAAGCTGTGTAAAACCTTTTTATGTACCTCAGGGGAAAACCAACCATTCAAACAGGTACTTTCCCTAACTGGCAGAGGGGAAGGAGTGACACTGGATGTCATGAAATCATCAAGGGCAATGACTAGAAATTTGTCTTTCCAGTGGAGCGCTGGCATAAAGCAACGTTGTGTCCTGTATGAAACTGATTTTTTGTGGCATTGCTGAGATGTTAGAAAGCGCAGGCAATAGCAGAATGTAGCAGATTCCATTCGCGGTGTGAAAGATGGGACGGGTTTCTCTGGAGCGTGCGGAGCCTTATCAGCCCCCTTTGCTGAGCTGCTTCATTTAGCTCATGACATGGAGCAGAAGACTAACTTGGCCAAAACGGAATAGCGAGGGCTAACGCGCTGATGTCGGAGCGGTTTTGAGTTTTGCTTTGTTTTTTTTTTTTTCCGAATTATCGAGCGGAGCAGGCGAGGGGCGAGGCTGTGAGGGAAATGGCGCCCGCGGCGGGAGGGAAGCGGCTCACGGCCGCGCGGGCTGCGGGACACCCTGCCTCTAAATTATGCCTGGCTCCAGCAAGAGCACCCCGCTTTCTCCCCAGCCTGGCTAACGCCGCCGCCCCGCGGCCCTCCCCGGCTCCCCGCCAGCAG